CCTCGCCCGCGCGCCTCTGCCTCGGGTCTCTGGCGCGCAAGCAGCCTAGAGAGGGGCGCGGCCAGGCCTGGCCTGAGGCGCCGGGGCTCTTCAGCGACCCCTGGGGAGCCTGGCTCCCCAGTGCCCCAGCCAGCTTGGAATAGGGGTCCAACCGGGGCGTCCGGATCCCCCATTTCCAGGACTCTGATTTAAAGGGACAGGAACTGCGTAATGGGGAAGCCATCCAGGGCGCTTTTGGCCCCCACCCGGGAGCGAGATGGCGATTCACAGCGGGCAGGGAGCCCCTGCTGCGAAGGTGCCCAGATCTTCCCCTGCCCCCTCGTCTCGCTTCTCCCTCTTGGCGCCTCTGTGTACTGCCCGCCCCCACTTGGCAGTGAGGCTTCAAACCACAGGTGGTTTTCCTAAAGCAAAGGACTCAGCCTTCTTCTCTCCGGGCACTTGGGGTGCTCGTCTGGGTTGATGGAGACCAGCTTGCCTCCGAAAACAATGATTTTGTCGAGTGGTCCTCCTACCCCTACAGTAAGAGAGGTGCTCGAAGTCTGGCCACACGCACGCATCTTGGAGAAAAGTCACCGGCTTTCTGCCCCTCGCCAACAGGTACCCACACACACTGGGGAACAAAACGGGATCGCCACTCGGACGGATGATATTTTGTCTTTCTCCACCCCCTCAAACGCGCAAGGTGTCCAATTCTTGGATCGGCGTGTCCAGAGGCAGAAGCGCATTTCCTGGACCGCAAGCACGCGGGCAGAAGCCGGCATTCCCAGCTCTTCTGGAGTCTGTGCGGTGGGCTGCGGAGGGAAGTGCGGACCGCACTAGATCTGTAGCCAGCTGGAGTGGAGGAGGGGTGGCTCGGGACGCTGAGCCGGAAATTGTTAAGGAGGCCACAGTCGGAGATTTTGGAGCCCAGAAGAAGGGTAATTTGAAACTTTTGATTAGCCAGGGGCCTGCCTGCCTACATCGCCTTGAGGCCGTACAGGAAACACCATTATTTTCACCTTGGGATTAACATGGCTCTTGCTTGAAAACCCAGCCACTGCGTGAGCCCCAGAATTTAAACCTAACTTCCCCAGACCTGTTGTTTTACCCTGCACCCCGACTATCCCTCCCCGACCCAGCGCTGTTGGGTTGAAGGACTGCCAGCGCAGTCCAGCCCTGTGGCGTCTTGGAGGGAGTTGGCCAGGTTTGTTCTGCAGTCTGACTCCCAGGGAATGACGATTCTCTGCATTCCCCGGTCAAGCACATCTTGGATTTAATTGTTGTGGTATGTGGTCAGCTAATTCTGACACTACGTTGTTGTTGTGCAGTGCCGTCGAGTCGGTTCCGACACATAGCGACCCTGTGTAGGGTTTCCGAGGAGCAGCTGTTGAGCTTGAACCGCGGACTTTGCAGTTCAAAAGGCTTTGCAGTGTGGCGCATTAACCCACAGCGCCCCCGCCAGGACTCCAATTCTGACGCTACAGGCCAAAGTTAAGTGCTCTGGTGGTGCATGTTAAGAACTTGGCTGCTAACCCAAAAGTCCAGGCAGATTGGACCCCACCTGGGGAAAACATGAGGTGGTCTACTTGGGTAGATTTACAGCCTTGGAAACCCTATTGGTAGTCAAAACGTCCCGGAGGGTTGCTATGAGTTGAAATCCACTCCATCCAAACCAACGGGTTTGGGGGTTAATCCTTAGGGAAACACATTCTCGGGGGGTCTTCTCTGGTAGAGTTGCAGATGAACCTTTCAGTTGGTTATGGTTGTTTAGTACTGTCACGTCAGCGCCGACTCACTGCAACCCTGTATAGGGTTTCCAAGGAGCAGTTGGTGAGTTTGAACCACTGACCTCGAGCTTCAAACTGAATTTGCCGTCCAGCACATTAACCTGCAATGCCACTAGGAGCCAGCACTTAAGCACTGCACCACCGAAGCTGCTAGGATATTACTAAAGCCAACCCAAACCAAACCCACTGCCTTCAAGTCCATTCTGACGTTGTTAAATGCTGTCAAGTCCATAGCAACCTTATATAGGGTTTCTGAGGAGCGACTGGTGAGCTCGAACTACCAACCTTGTAGTTCAAATGACTTTGCAGTCTGTCTTATTAACCCACAGCGCCACACCAGGACTCCGTTCTGGCTCATAGTGATCCTATATATAGGGTTTCCGAGACTGCTAATCTTTACAGAAGAAGACAGCCTCATCCTTCTCCCGAAGATCATCTTGTGGGCTTGAACCACCAACCTTCCAGTTACCAGCCCACTGCATATTCCACAGCACCAATCAAATGTCTTCTTAACAAGACATTGCCACATTGCTCTCCCTTTCCAGCTGTGTGCTCCACAGCCTCACGAACGCCCGATATTATCAGTGTTCTTCTTTTGTTTTCATTTGTTTTGTTTGGTGGCTGTGAAATAGCATCTCAGAACTGGTTAAGATGCATGAGCAATGGAATGTGATGGCTACATAGGCAAAGTACTGCAGACTTGTCCCAGTGAAGTTCAGGCTCAAATCTGGGCCCTAGGACCGCCTAGCTGTGTAGCTTTCAGCAGTGGTTGAGCTCTGTTTTCTAATCTGTTAAGTGCCTGTAATAATAGTTCTAATAGGGTTGCCATGAGAATTCCAAGAGCTGAGTGCCCAGCTGTTGGCTAGGATGGTGGAAGACAGAGATATCCTGCGGAGGCCACACCCCAAAGAAAGGCCTTAGGTTCCTAGCAGGGAGATGTCTAGCCCTCTGCCTGCCACCAAACAGTTGGAGTAAACATTGCTGTTCCTCTGTGCACGACGTATTTTTTTTCTAATCCCTTTTGCTGAATCAGCAGCCCTTTCACACACCAGTATGTAGATTACAACTGAGATCTTGTTGGAAAATGGCGATTGGTTCTAAGTAGTTACTACTGGTCAGCACCTTCTTTCTCTGGTCACTGCATACCCTTCCCCTTGCAATTACAACTCCCTCTCCCCTCCCGCTGGCCCTCTGTCATCTCCCATGGCCAGACCACCTCCAGCAGTGACAAGATCTAGCCTCTGCATCACAGAGATTGGAGGCCTTTTTCTTGTGTCGTTTGGAAACTGTTCTCCCATAAAATAGAGCTGTATTGATTTCATTTTGGAAGAAATGCTCCAAGCCTATAAACACATAACACCCAGAAATTTGAAAACAAAAATAAGGCAGGGGGAAAAAAAAAAACTACAACCAAGATGCCGAATCTCATGGCCTCTGTGAGAATGATTTCCCATTAGTTCCAGCACCTGCTTCTAGATGGAGAGGGAGTGGGCATACACACGTAGGCATCTAGGTGACATGCCTTGCTGGAGGGGAAATAGAGACCAAGCAGAACTGAAGCTTCAGTCTGTCTGATTTTACCGTCTGGGATCCTTCTGGTCTCCAGGCATTGTATACTTACAGTTTCCTTTGCCTGGGCCACTGATGATGACAGAAGGTTTTTCATTTCATCTCCAGAGAGATTTCCTGAATTCACTACGTTAATAAAGTCCTCTTTTATCTTCATGTTGTTGTTGTTAAGTGCCACAGAATCAGTTCCAACTCATAGCAACCCTGTATAGGGTTTCTGAGGAGCGGCTCGTGGGTTTGAACCGCCGACCTTGTGGTTACCAGTCAAGTGCTTACCCTACAGCACCACACCAGGGCTGTTGTTATTAGGTGCGGTCAAGTAGATTCCAATTCATAGTGACCCTATGCACAACAGAGCAAAACACCGTCTGGTCCTGCGCCATCCCCACAATTGTTACGTTTGAGTCCATTGTTACTGCCACTGTGCCAATCCATCTTGCTGGGGGTTCCTTTTTTGTTGCTGATCCTCCATTTTACCAAGAATGATGCCCTTCTCTGGCAACTGGTCCCTCCTGATAACATGTCTGAAGTGTGAGAGACCAAGTCTCAGCATCCTGATTTCTAAGAAGCATTCTGACTGCACTTCTTTTTTTTTCAATGTTTTATTGGGAATTATGTGATCGTTTACATGGAAGAACATTAGTTTTACATTCATCCTATCATATATCGTTTCATTGCCATGGTTACAATCTCCTCCATGCATCATCAAACAACCAAGTGTTATACACTACAAGCCTGCCGCCCCCCTCCCTCTCTGGGTCTAATGTCCCCAGCTGCTCCATCTCTCCAAGTCCTTGTCTCTGCCTCCATCTCTGGCGCCACTGCTTCTCTGGGTAGGGTCTCGCTCTCCGCTCTTCTCCTTTAATGGTCCCAGGAACCTCTGTTCCTAGACTGAAAAGTTAATCACT